ATCACACACAACCTTGGCGCCCTTTTTCGTGAAGCGATGGCGAAGGCCGCCTCCAGTCCCCTCTTAATCTGCGGAGACTTCAATGCACCCCACACGCAATGGGGATATGGAGCCGACTCGCCCAAAGGGAAGAGGCTAGCCGAACTGATGGAAGAGCTTGGCTTGGTTCTACTCAATGAACCGGCATCGCACACCCGGATTGGACAGGGCGCGTGCCGCGACACGTCCCCTGATCTCTCCATTTGGTCAGACGCGGGCGCGATCACCCAGTCGAACACCTTTGAGGATCTGGGGGCGACCACAAAGTCCTGTGCATGACAATGGGAGAGAATAGAGGCAAAATGGACGGCTACCAAAAAGCTAGAGTCGTGGACTGGGACAAGTTTCAAGAGCAAAGAAAACGAGAGAAGCAGGAAGGGCCTATCGAGGATATCGGGGAATGGTGCAGGCAACTAGTCGCGGACGTAGAAAAAGCTACAAAAGAAATAGAATGGCCAGACAGGCGAAAATAGCCTGAAGGTGGCGACAGGCCCTGCGGAAGCGTCGACGACAGCGTTCCCGGGCCGTCCAGGGTGGACAGCCGACTTGCGCATCTTGTAGAGGCCAAGAAATTTATGCAGCGAAGAGCGAGTCAGCAGAAACTGAACAGGAAGAACGCAAAATGATTGCCGAGATCAACCGAGAGATTGAGGCCCACTGCGTTCGACTGTGCGAACAGGAATGGCAGGAGCTGTGCGATACGATGGACGGAAACATAAGTGCAGGGCGCACATGGAAGATTCTCAGGCACCTGCTGGATCCAACCAGCACGAGAACGGCGACTCGTGTCCAGATGGCCAAGCTGCGACACAAGTACAAAGATGACCCGCAGGCCTTCGTTGAGGAGATCATGCAGACGCACCTCACTCGCCCGGCAGGCGAGAGTCGCATGGAATACTTTGGGGCTCCCAACGAGGAACTAGACGCCGAATTTTCCATGCAGTAAATTAGAGCAGTTTTCCAGCTACTGAAGACTAAATCGGTGCCCGGTCCTGCCAAGATCACCAACCGAATTCTGAGGAACCTGAATGATGACGCCATCGAGAAGCTACGTCAGTATATCAACGCATGCTAGAAGGAAGGCCGTATTCCACAAGAATGGAAGACAGTGGATGCCATACTAATACCCAAGCCAGGTAAACCGCTTGAGGTTCGGAATATGAGGCCGATATCTCTGACGTCCTGCGTCGGGAAAGTCATGGAGCACGCCTGCCTCAACAGGGTGACGACGATTCTCGAGAAGCGGGATGCCTTCGGCACTCACATCATCGGCTTCCGCAGAGGACTTTCAGCACAGGATGCTATGCTGCAAATCAAGGAACAGGTCATTAACGCACCAAGCCCGCACGTGCGCGCCCTGCTCGGGTTAGACCTCAAAAGCGCCTTCGATACAGTAAAACATGCTGCCATTTTGGACAAGATCAGCCAACTAGGTCTTGGTTCAAGGTTCCACCGGTACATCAGCAGCTTCCTGACCAGACGCAAGGCGACGGTGAAGGTCGACGGTGCCCCACCACAAACAGTTGACATGGGGGGTGCGGGTACGCCACAGGGCTCGGTGCTCTCTCCCATGCTTTTCAACCTCATCATGATCGGACTACCGTACCGTCTCGACGCAATAGAGGGCATCAATCACACGATCTACGCAGACGACGTGACCGTGTGGACCACAGCGAATACGAGCGTTGGTGAAATGCAAGAGAGAATGCAGCAGGCCGTCCGGGCCGTGGAGCGGCACCTCGAAGGCACGGGACTCGTCTGCTCTCCCGATAAATCGGAAATACTCCTGCATAGACCACGCAAGAAAGGACCTCACCCGCAGGCTGTACTGGACGCCCGTCGCTTGGGCATCCACGTCATGACGAAGGAGGGGATCCAAATACCAACGGTGTCCAAAATACGAGTGCTCGGCCTGTGGCTGGAGGAGAACGGTGCGAACCACGAGCTGGTAGCATGACTGCAAAATAAAGTGGCCGCCGCAACGCACCTTGTGCGTCGGGTAGCGAAAAAAAGAAAATGGCTAAAGGAACACAACGTGACGAAGTTAATACATGCGTACGCGCTGAGCCACATAGCGTATGTCGCCGCGTATGCCGACTGGAACAGAAGTGAAACCGAGAAGCTGAACGCGGTGAATCGTCGAGCGTTCAAGGTAGCCCTGGGTGTGCCCCAGTACACGGAAACCCGTAGGCTTCTGGAGCTGGGTGTGCACAACACCCTCGACGACATAGCAGAAACGCAAAGGATCGCGCAGCTCGAGAGGTTGTCTGGCACAAGAACGGGGAGACGCATTCTCGATCTGCTCGGGATTCGATATCATGAGGTGCGTGGACTGAAGGAAGCATTGCTACCGGAAGTCAGGGATGCCATACTGACAGAAAACATCCCCAGGAACATGCACCCCGTTCACGACTTGCAACGACGCAAATGCAGAGCTGCAGCAATCCTGAAGGCGCATGGAAGCCAAGAGGGTGTCCTCTTCGTCGATGCGGCCAGGTATCCACTGTCAGCCGGCGGTGGCGATGGGGGACGCTCGGAACCCCAGCCGCTACCTGTGAACGAGCGAGGCGAAGTCGAGGCGCTAACACTACCACCACTGCTACTGCTACGACAACAACGACTGCAGCGACAGCGGCAACATCAACAGCGAGTCCGGTCAGCGGCGGCGGGACCTGCTTTCTCTATGGCGGTCCTGGATACAACAGGAAAGGTTCGGGTCACGGCACCAGCACGGCTGCCATCATCCGAAGCTGCAGAAGAAATGACCATAGCTTTAGCGGTACTCCACAGAGGTGCAGACGACAGACTGATTATTAGCGATTCTAAATCAGCGATTCGGAGCTATATTAAAGGCTGGGTGTCCGAGGAGGTGGCACGCATGCTTAACGCCAGAGCTGGGGACTTCGCGTCAAACAAGATTACTGACAAGGCCCTCAAGTGGTTTCCCGCTCACACGGGGGACAGTGGAACTATCAACAACAGCAGCCGTAAAACTAGCAGCAACAACGCTAACAGCCAAAGACTAACCAGCATCCCACCCAACCATAACGAGAGCGCCCACATCGTCGCAAGGCAACTTACCCGCCGCGACGCAGCCACCCAGGGAGCAGCCGCCACCGTGGTTGGGAGGAGCACCGACCGAGGCACGGTGGTGGCCACAGGCACTGGCAATACCGAAATTACCACCCCCACCACGTCCGTTGCTGCAGTAACTGAAGTTGGTGCAGAAGAGGCGAGACAACAGAGGTGCGCCGACTGCTATGGAGAAGAATTTCCTGCCACGTACCACGACGTGCTTGCGCACTATAGGAAAGACCGGAAGAAATTGCTGCAACCCAACGTGCGCCTGGACAGGTCGCAGGCGGTGGACCTGAGAAGGATGCAGACGGCCACTTTCACCAACCGCTACCATCTGCACCGCTTATGGACCACGCTGCAACCGTCGCCTGGCTGCCCGTGGTGCGCGCACGAACGAGCCGATATGGTACATATACTTTGGCAATGCGAAAGAGATAAAGATAGGCCACGAGAAAGGATGACGTAAACTGAGGAACCCACCGAAATGGGGCACCTTGCTGAGCTTTGGCAAGCCGCCCTTCTCAGCGAGGCCCTCGAAGACCAGGTGTGGGCCGTCCAGCGGGCCAGGGCCGTTGCCGAGGACCTCGAAAGATGTTCCTCGAACGATGTGTCCCTGGCAGCCTAGCCCCGGGCACAGCAACAACCGTTGGGCAAATAAAGTTTATTCAACTCAACTCAACTCAACTCAACTATCTATCTATCTATCTATCTATCTATCTATCTATCTATCTATCTATCTATCTATCTATCTATCTATCTATCTATCTATCTATCTATCTATCTATCTATCTATCTATCTATCTATCTATCTATCTATCTATCTATCTATCTATCTATCTATCTATCTATCTATCTATCTATCTATCTATCTATCCATATGTCTATCTATCCATATGTCTATCTATCTATCTATCTATCTATCTATCTATCTATCTATCTATCTATCTATCTATCTATCTATCTATCTATCTATCTATCTATCTATCTATCTATCTATCTATCTATCTATCTATCTATCTATCTATATGTCTGTCTATCTATCTATCTATCTATCTATCTATCTATCTATCTATCTATCTATCTATCTATCTATCTATCTATCTATCTATCTATCTATCTATCTATCTATTCCTTCCTTTCGTACGTCCGTCTCCTGTAGCAGAAGTATATTTTTGGAGTCATTTCCTGACAAATTTTAGTTTCTTTCACCAAATTATCACCAAATCTCGGCAGAATCGCCAGAGGAAAATAGAGAGGATAGATTGAAGGAACGCAAACTTGTATGAAATCTTTATTGAGCGCACAAAATATTCACCACAATGGGGAAGTCGGTGTGGGAAGATCTGTCGAATCCATCACAACTTGGCGTCTGTTACACACTTGTACAGCCCGGCTAGCAGGTATATTTTATACTTTGAGAAGCAGCAATGGATTGCGTTGGCATCGATGAGGCTGACTTCTCGAATAGCGTGTATGCAGGAGAGAATAACGAAACGTCCTTCCCTTAACATGCACCAGATAGCCCAAAAAGAGTTGGGCGCGAACAAAGTTTTGTACTACTTGTCAGAGGGCTTCGTAACTACCTTAGTGTTTCATAATCAATAGAAGGGTGTAATCCACAGTTTCTCATAAGCCCCTCACAGTTGGCAAACAGAAAAGGAACCTGTATACGTATCCGTGCCCTTCTCCTGGGAACTGTATGTGGCGTCAAAGACGGACTCTTCATTTACAAAATGTAATATTTTAGCTGAAGACAGCCATCCCTCCAAAAACAAACGTGACAAAGCCATGCGTTTGTGACTGTGAGAGTCTTCGTTGCAGTAGGCTACGTCTGCAAACGTCACGTTTCCCGACGCGTACCCGCACTAAAAAACAACAACAACAACAAAAAAAAACAAGCTACATATACATTTTAAATATAGAGCAAGACATGGAATAGGATAAAACTGGAAGCTTAAGCTCAACACATGCCTCGCACACACACAAAAAAAGCCCTTACTTTAGGATTTTTTTTTGAAAAAGAGAACTTCAAACAGTCTTTGTGCTGGGCATATTAGTGGAGGGGCAAGCGGATATCAAAGAGCACTTAAGTATAAAAATCCCCGTGAATTTAACCCCTTGTCTGTGCACAACAGGGTTCGATCACTTGGCAAAATAATTATATATATAGCCAGTATAACGCAATGATTCCTTTCGCTATATTCTATTCCTTTCTTATGACCCTCAATTAACCAGCGTTATCTTCACCGATGATAACTTACGCGGAGGGTCACTCTGACCAATGACGAAAAGGTAAAAGAAAGTGAAGTTTGAGAAAACAGAATCGTTACATTATTCCGGCATTGTACACAACACTGAGGGTGAGGCAAGAAGCCCCATATCTTATATATTGCAGATAGAGCTTAAGCTCAGAAATGATAGTGCATGTCGTCCCACGCCATGGCCACGACTCTGCTGACGTAAAGCTCGGGGTCGAAGTGCATGACATGAGGATGAAAGTGATGGTGGTGGGGCGTCATGGCCAGATGGGTGACGGGCTCCATGGCGGGCCTGGTGTTCGGGTCGCACAGCCGGAGCACCCACGTGACCACGGTGAACGTGGCGGCGTTGGTGGGAAAGGCCCGCAGAAGGGTGGAGTTCAGGCCACGGGTGAACACTCGCAGGCCTTCTTGGCGGTAGCTCTGGACGGCGCAGTCCCAGAGACCCTTGTATCTGCAGGGTGGTAAACCTGGGTGGTTATCTTTTTTACCCGGACTAGAACGAGGAAGGAAAAGGAAAGACAGGAAGTTCGACCAGATGCGCTTTTGGTTTGCTGTTCTAGGCCGGAGGAAAGAAATTACCAGACAGAATGATGAAAAGAAGTGAGAATATGACTAGAAAACGCTCAACACTACTCTGTTCCACGCACTTCGAAGAGGATTGGTTCGTTTGCATCCCGTAAATTTGATACTTCTTGATAGGATCTCCGTCATATCGCGCTCGAGCTGTAGATATTGATACAAGTCTGGCCTTATTATTATAGACAGTGTTGGTCAGCTCATGGTGCCTATTCAAGAGTTTCAAGGACGAGACACATAAAACAGTATAGTACCTGTTGTACGAACCGAGATCATGGTGATTATAGCTTGCTGATGAACACCAGAAGTACATCTAAGAATGATTGCAGCACTGTGACCATGGGTTTGTGTTCTTCAGATAGCTTTTCCTCTGGAAGTCCGGAGTTCGATTTTGCCATGACGCAACTCAATTTGTTAAGCGTGGAAATTTTTCTGACATTCATTCGCCGAGAACCAGACAAGTTTGCTTTCTTGCCGTTGCGGCAACGAACATGCTCACACATTCAGTTCTACAAGTGTGCAGAAGAACTGTCTTCAAGCTTCAAAGACTTCGACGATAGTGCTTCTCCCCCCCCCCCCCCTTGTCGGGAGGCGTTATATTTGAGGGTGCACGTACCTTCGCGGTCCTCTCATGCCGTCCACCTGGATCCTGGATTTGAGGACGTCCATCGGGTAACATGCCATCCAGGAGAACACGCCAGCGAGCCCACCGGCAGCCATCAAAGCGGCGGTACCTTTGGCACCGGTGAAGGTACCGTCGCCACCTAAGCGCACCATCTGCTCGTAGCTGGCGAAGTAGACGGCGAAGCCCGGTGCGTCCCTCAGTAATGTCGGTCCGAATCCTCGGAATGCACCTCGGAGGCCTTCCACTCTGAGTATCTGCCGCAGGCAGTCCACGGGACCCTTGTAGAGGGCGCGAGCTCCGCTCTGGCCTTGGATCTGCGTTGACGTTGACGCGAAGCGAGCCTATAGTTTGCGAACTACAGGAAGCGCAGGTGCCACTTTACGTCAGTAAAAAAAAAAGAACTAGTTCGCTCTTGATTTTTTTATCATTATTATTACGTTATTACGAAAAAGAGAAAGTTACAGTGAAATGTTACTGGAGCTACACGTAATTATTGGTGCACATAATAAGTTACGCATTATATTTAAGACAGAAGTTAAGAGAAAAATGGAAGCTTGAAATTGTGAAAAATTCTTGGACACAGAGCATCGCTGGACCGGACGTGTATAAAGGTGGCTCCAGTGATGGGCCCACAAGCATATATTTTTTTCGGCATTATTTTATGAGTTTGTTAGGTAATTATTCGTGTTCTAAAAACACGCACAATCGAATTAAACGTCGAACATTGTACACTCGAGTAATGCTCCGGTGTACAGGGTTGAATTAAGCAGGAACTCCGGTATACAGGGTTGAATTAAGCAGGAATCTTCGGCGCCGCTTAAGCGCCCGGATAAGTTCTCCGGGATTGCATGGAATCGCTATACATAGCAAAGTCTATAAAATTTGCTGTGTATATGTTAACACGGTGACAATTGTCTTGACTGGCCCGGGCTTTCAACAAGCCTTGTCATCTCTTATTAGCCAACCCTTTTGCCATAACGGGTTAAGAAGCGTTAGTGGGTCCGCTGTTTTCATGAACTATAAATTTTTGCCTACTTTGAATGTAAATAGGCCCTAGTGCTTCTCTAGATGGAGCTATCTCCTCCTCGTTACTTTCCTCTGAGTTCTAGTCATCAAGCGACCTCCATGTTCACAAACATGGAGCGACCTGGTATACCAAAAAAAGCCTACGCAAGCGACGGGGGCTTTGATGTGCTATATTATTTAGTAGTCATTTCAATTTATTAAATATTGCGAACTCATGGTTCAAAAAAGATAATAAAAAAGATAATCAATACAAACACAAAAGCAGTAGCAATAGCAGAGCAACAATGAAGGCCGAAAGCTGCTATTTTGCTGTCATCTACATAGGCAAGGCATTTCCACTCACTAGGGGTCCTCGGGAAATATGGAAATGTAAATAGGCCAGTGATATCAAACTATAAGGTTAGGACGTTATGTTTGCTGTGTCGGGTGGATCTGCTATTTAGGGGTATCAAATACGGAGGTTGATCTAGAGTTCGTTTGTTATTTAAAAGCTGATAAAAATGCTAATCTAGATTATCCATTTCATGCCCGTAATGTTCCAAGGTAAAAATAACTTGTCCGTAAATGGACCTATATAATTGCTTTATGTATAGTGCATAAACGGTCCTTAAATGGTCTATAAAGGGCCACGAATGGTGCGTGATCGCTGGAGCAGTGCACGTTCGCATTATCGGCCACCGCACGCAGCCCGTATACGCACTTGTAACCGGGTCTTGGCCAGCTCTACGGGGCTGCTGATGACGCTCTGCACGGCTCCGGCCAGGACGCCCGAGGCTGCGTGAGCCCAGATGCTGTCACCGAGGCGCTTCTGGGTGGTGCCGTACACGCCGAACACCACGGCGTTCACCAGCGCCACGCCAGCCATGGGAGATGACATGCCTCGGTAGAGGCCCGCCATCTGCAACAGGACAGACAAGAATGAGAGGCTAAGAAAAGCCGTCAGCGACCATATCAATGAGAAATAACATACAATGATGCAAAGCGAATCACAGAAGATGTTCGTAGAAGTAATGCAAATGGGAAGGAAGAAAAGTTTACTTGCCACTGACAGGATCTGCGGCCTTCGAATAACGCATGCCGGTGATGATGATCCGACGTGTTATTCGAAGGTCGCAGGTTCAGATCCCTGCCGGTGCCAAGTTATCTTTTCGTACACTCTTCTTTTTTCTCATTTCACATTACTTCTAACAACAACCTCTATACTGTCTCTTGGCGTCAATGTTAGTTCTTCAATAATATTGTGCCTAACACTAGAAAATGAGCCCTTAAACATACACTTCTTCATCACCTGCATGGGGAGTAGTTGACCGTGTGCCTTGCAATACGACTCGCTGTTCGGCATAGGCTTTGTTTTAGTGCACTCTAATAAGCGCCGTACAGCGTCCCCGAACTGAGACGTGTAAAATTTAGGGCTACGCAATGCTCGTACTTTCGTTCGAGCGTTTTCAGTTCGTGTCATAACGGCGTATTTTTTACTCGAACGCACACATCAAAGCCGGCACTTCTTGCAGCGTACCCATATACAGCGATATGACGTGGGTTTCACGAGAAATAGCTTACAGCAGTTGTCGTACCTAAACAAACAAACAAACAAACAAACAAACAAACAAACAAACAAACAAACAAACAAACAAACAAACGAACGAACGAACGAATAAAAATGCTTGCGACAGCTTCGCAGTCGCACTATAGTGGTGCCAAACCTGAACGAACGGTGGAGCTGGGTGGACTCGCTTCTTTATTTTTCGTTTCTTTCTTTCTCTCATTGTTTCTCTTTCTCTGTGTTTTTTCAATTTCTTTATCGCCTTTTTTCCTTTCCATTTTCTTCTTTCACGTTTTTCTCACGCTTTCTATCTTTCGTTTGGGTTTCTTCTCTTTTCCCTTTCTCTCTTTTTCTGTTGCTATTTTTTCTATCGTTTAATTTTCTTTCTGTGATATGTTTTCTTCACTCCTCACCCTCATTTTCACTTTCCTTTTTCGCACCCTTGCTATGGAATACTGTACAACGCTGTGTTGTGCTTTGTTTGCCTGCCCGCATAACCGAGTGGTTACAAGGCTCGCCTTCGCATCGTGGTCACGTGGGTTCCTATTCCGCCTCGTCAAGAAGTTCTTTCTACGCTAATTTCTCTTTTACTCTTTGTTTCTCTCTTCCTCCCGCTTTCTCTATCCACTTCTCTCTCTCTCTCCCTCTCTCTCTGTGCGTGTGCGTACTCGCTTTTCTCACCCATCGAGTCTTCAGAATCGTGCACCGGATAAAACGAGAACAGCTCTTGCACTGTCTGTGGCTACTTTGTCTCATATGCTTCGGTAATGCGGGTCGTTGGGCCCGAATTTGACCAAGGGAGGGTGGTCACACCTAAGTCCATGTGTGAAGACCAAATCATGGCTGGCTGTTTGGCATGCCCGTGGTAAGACCAGCCGGCTAGACCTGTCGGTCCCGTCGTGGGATTAGCCAGGTGCTTATATTATCGCGTTTTGCTGGACCCAACAAATGTTCGCTCACTCACTCACTCACTCACTCACTTGCTTACTCTTTGAGTGAAGCGGAAAAGAACGCGTGAGTCGGTTCATTATGCTGATAGTCCTTGTTCACAGATCACGGATTGACGGTCGTTTTAAATAGCTCAGCTGTTGAAAAGACATCCTATGTGAATTCGTCTTCTTCGGAGCCGAACAACTCACAGAAATTGACTATTTGCACAGACGATCCGTTCTACTGCAATCCCGGCATGATAATGAAAACTCCATTGCGCAATACTGCATGCACTCTGTTACTCAGCGGTCGCGGAATCGAATCCCGGCTGCGGCGGCTGCATTTCCGGTGGAGGCGGAAACGGTGCAGGCCTATGTGTTAAGATTTGGGTGCACGCTAATGAACCCCAGGTGGTCAAAATTTCCAGAGCTTTACGGCGTCTCTCATAATCATATGGTGGTTTTAGGACGTTAAACCCCACATATCAGTCAAATCAATCTTTTACTCAGTCTCAACAATATACTGAACAACAATTGGACAATCTTGCGCGCATGTACACTGAAAATAATAGCGAACCAACATTGGCCTGAGGAAAAAAAAAAGACCTTTGTAGCGCCTTCAACGTGACTTCACCAGCGAATGGATGGCATTATAGCACACTTATGACCAAATATCGGAGGACATGGGACAATTCGTGTGGCTCAAGGCCTCCCCTGCGTCTTCGCTGGACCAAAATAAAGTCTTCATCATCATCATGATCATTATGCTTGAGCTTCTCAATCAAAAGTAGAGCGTGATAGCATAGTCGGGGCCCCGTGCACATCGGGTTCTGAATTATTAGCCTGGTTTCGGTTCCCGGTGCATGCTTTGATCGCGCCACACTTGATCGCCATCCTAGAATGCCTACTGTAAGTACAGTTAAGTGCCCACGACGCCGTAATTCTTTCTTTCGCGAGTCACCGAAGAGCCCAGCACGCGGACCTACGCAACTGCTCCTTACGTGATATTGCTTTGGCGGCTGATTAAGAAGAAAATCACAGCATATTCACGGAGTGAATGATAATGAGTGGGGCGAAGCGTCCATCAGTCCGTCCGTGCTTCCGTCCTTCCATTTGTTCTTCCTTCCGTCCATCCGTCCGTCCCCGCGTGCGTCCCTGCGTTCGTCCATGCGTCCGTATCCGTGCTGGCGTCTGCCCATCCATCCATCCGTCAAGCAGACAGGCAGACAGACAGACGACGTACGGACACGGCCAGCGGATGTTTCATGTTTGCAGATAGAACCCTCCGAAGCTTCGCCCCCCTCATCATCATTCACTCAATAGATATGCTGTGAAGTGTTTACATACATGCATACATACAGGTGACGACCGACCCTCGCAGCTTCGCCCTCAAAATTTGGCCGGACGCTTTGCAGTGGGTCGGTATTTAACAGAACCACTCACTGCAATTAACATTTTCCGACGTTTCGCGCTCATAGCCAACGACGGCGACACCAATAGTGACGCCAGAATTTCTGCGAAACAAGTTCTCTGCCTGTTTGTCAGCTCTTCAACGCTATCACATTAATAATTCCGCGATACGGGGAAAACAAAATTGCTAATTCCAAAATATCGTACGCTAGTAGAGCAAGAGCCACTTTCAAACTCGCCTCTTTCGAATAAAATACGAATAGTTTATTTCGCCTATATTTATCTATAGGTCTGTGTAGCTCGGTCATCCATGACTGAAGCTTTGACTCTAACGATGGCTTCACCCGTCTTCTACTTCCTCTCGAACCACTTGGGAGCATTATTGACTCTTGTGCACTTCCCGTGTCCACGTAGCGTGCTGTTAGAAGTCTTCTTCGTCATCGCGCGCCTTCCACCGTGGCTCTAAGAGGCTCGGCTATGGGGCCGGGCGACGCTTCTCAGCACGCTTCGAGTTCTCGCACGGGGTCGAGGAAGAGCGCCTGTAGAGGCCGGGCACGGTGGTGGTGCTTGCTGCGCCTTTTGTTTCTTCCGCGGCTCCGACTGGACGAGCTTTCACGGAGGGCAATAAGCGCGCGTCCGCTAAGGCGACTGCGCGATGAGTGCCATGATCCGCAGCGGCTCACCTTCCTACTGGGCACTGCGACGCTTCGGAGCCTCGCTAGCCGCGTCGTCGGTGCTGCTTGCGGAGGAGCTCCTCGAGCGCTTCCTGCGGCTCGCTCTCGGGCCGTTGGTCGCGACAGCCTTGCTGGTGGAAGTGTTTCCACTCCTGGGCTGCGCCGCAACCGCTGTCTTCCGCAACCTCCGCGCCGCCGTGGTAGTGATCGGCTTCGGTGCTTGCGGATCTCCCGACGCACCCTTGGGTGGTCTAGCGCGTGACCGCTTGGCAGCCGGAGCCTCGTTGGAAGGGCCACTGGCATTGTCAGCAGCAGCTGCCTGGCGCTGCGCTCGCCCGGCCTTTGGCGGACCGTGGTTGGCCTCTTCCTGTTTCTGCACCATGGCACCGTCGCTTCGAGTCACGTCAACCTTCGATCCCGAAGAGATCGCTGTACTCGTGAGCGTTGTCCCTGGCCGACAAGACGGGCCCCAGGCTTTGGTAGAACAGCGGCTAGAGTCCGAAATAAACAATGAGCTGAACTGGCTGAGTATACTAGACAGAGCAGAACCTTGGAACTGCGGCACACAGCCAAAAATGAAGGATTGGCAAAGAACCAAACGGCCGCGTTCGGTTCTCGTGCGCCGCGTGCGTGGATTTCTTCTTCCTTGTTTCGTGGAGATCTTCAGAGCATTTCAATCCGCGGAGGTGCAACGTGCAATGTGAATAAAAACGTCGCGAAGTTGACTTATCAAAATTAGTGCTATTTATATAACCGACGGCATTTCATTAGCCGAAAACTTGATTTTTGATGCCCAAATCTTGAGATAAGTGGTTCCGGGCTTTTGGTAATCACTGACTGTAGATTATGCAAGTAATTCCAACGCAAACAACTAAACATGGAACAACCTGAACATTCATGGAAGTAGGACAGGACAGAGTGGCTAACATGGACATATAAGAGCCCGACGAGAAAAAAAAATTAAGACAGCTTCGATTTAGTGATACCAAGCATGAGGGAAGTTCCGAGCCAGGTGGCTTTTCTTCTCCGCATTTTTCTCTTTCTTTCTCACCTTCTTCCTTTCTTCTCTCTATATTTCTCTGCAAATATTTGCTTCTCTTTATCTCTCTCTATATATACTTCATTTCTTTCTATTCCTAATTCTTTATTTCTACCTCTATCTAATTATTGATTCTCATGCCTTTTGCTTTGTTTGCTCCTCTTATTTCTGTATTTATTCGCATTATTTCTCTCCACTCTTTCTCTTTATTTCTACGTTTTGCTTTACTCTCCCCTCCAATTTTCTCACCTATTCACCCTCACATCTTTCCCCCTCGCCCACTCACAACACAGGCTGTGTTTT